TGATGTGTTTTCACTTGTGTCTTCTTTTTTTAATAACAAGTGTTCGGGTGTGCTGTACCGGAAGAGTAACCAATGTGACAAAATCTTGGTAATTACATATAGATATAAAAGTGAAGTACAAATATGAGATCTAATTGGAATTTGTCCGTCCTTTAGGATCAGTAGCTCATCGTAGTACCCTATTGTTTTTTTTCCGTTGTGCTATTTCAAAACTAAACACTGTATGAAATGCCTCAAGTCATAGGAAGCCTTCGAAATTTTAAACAATTTATAACATATAATGCGATAAAATCTAAAGTGATAAAATATGTTCTTCTCCAAAGCATAAATTGGCAAAAAATAGGTAAAGTAAACATGGGTTTTTGATAGAATAAAATCGTGCACAAGTAAGTTTTTGTTGAAAATTAATTGCATATCATAATAGAGAAGAGTTTGGCTTGGTTTTCCGAGCAGGAGAAGAGTTTGGCATGATTTTCTCAGGGGGAGAAGAATTTGGCATGATTTTCCAACTTCCTGTCTGTATATCGTTTCGCCTGTTTTTAGCTTTCTGTCTCTCCCAAATCGTTTCCGGTCAATAAGTCGGGATGCCTTAAGCTTGATCTTGAATACGTTGTATGTCGATCATGACCTTAGTTTAATGACATACTTCAAAGGTCAAGGTCACTAGGTCTGAAAATACACTGTTGTGAAATTGATTCCAGACTATAAGTCTAGAACCCTTGACTGGAGGTTATTCAAAATTAATTTGTTGTTACTGATGACCAAAAAGTGTGCCAAGTCCTCAACTCAACGTCATATTTCAATGATCATGCATGGTTACAGGGCAATGAAATATTGAAATTATGAACAATACTTTGGAACCTGATTTGATTGAATACAAGAGGCCCAAGGGCCTTAACGGTCACCTGAGTATAATACAACAACTTAGAGGATCCATAGAGTATAAAATGAACTGAAAGGTGAAGCTTTGTTGCCCAAAAGCAAGAAAAATAGGGTGATCAGGATCAACAATATTATTAGTCTAGTATTCATTAACAGTTCATAAATTAGGTTCTAATCTGTTCCCCATTTATCACCCTCACCAGACAGTATGTAAACAAACTATCAGTGCTTCTGCACTCTTTTAATTCCTTGTTCAAATCTCTTACATTGGCCTCTCTTGGTCTTTGATGAACATTTAATAAGACAAGTTATTTTTGTCTCATTTTTATTCATCTATTATTTACAAGTCTACCTGATCATTAAAGCTATGAAAGTACTTTTTGTATTATACAATAAAAATTCTTGCATAATTCTGTTATTCTATTAACCTTTCAAGTACATTATTTACAGTGATTAATTATCACAAGTAAATGGCAAAGGGGAGTAACTCCTCTCAGTAAAATATAAATTAATAGAGCCCTGGCCTGGACCAGAACACTTGACCAAATGGTCCTGATGTTCAAAAATCTTGTAAAAATACCCTTCCTTATTAAAACTTTTACTCTTTTTGCCTCTGATATGCCCAGATGCAGAGAAGATTTTTAAAACATTAATGCATTTTCACTCTATAAGAAATAGAGCCCCGCTCAACATCAGAACCTCTGGTCCGGGGATCATGAAATTCACGATTTCAGAAGAGGCATCCTTGCTTATCATAACTATGCATTTGTTTAAATAATACACAGGAGTAGAGAAGAAGATTTTCAAAGAAATAATGCACTTTCACTATATGATCTATATAGCCCCGCCCTAGCACCAGAACCCCTGACCCTAGGGCTATGAATTTCACAATTTTGGTAGATTCACTCTTGCTTATCATAACTATGTACATGTATTCAATTTGTTTAAATAATACCCAGTAGTAGAGAAGAAGATTTTCAAAGAAATAATGCACTTTCACTATAAGATCTATATAGCCCCGCTCTAGCACCAGAACCCCTGACCCTGTAGTCATGAATTTCACAATTTTGGTAGAGTCACTCTTGCTTATCATAACTATGTATTCAATTTGTTTCAGTAATACTGAGGAGTAGAGAAGAAGATTTTCAAAGAAATAATGCACTTTCACTATATGTTCTATATAGCCCCGTCCTAGCACCAGAACTCCTGACCCTGGGACTATGAATTTCACAATTTTGGTGGAGGGCTCAATGCTTATTACATTCATGCCAACAGTTTGACTGCTTGATGTCCAGGAGTAAAGAAGAAGATTTTTAAAGATTGCATTAATCTTGATGGTTTTGGCCCCACCCCTCAGGCCCAAGGGGGCAGGGGCCACGAATTTGACAAATTTTGTTCCCCTTTACCCATGGATGCTATATGCCAAAATTGGTTGAAATTGGTTTGCTGGTTCCAGAGAAGAAGCTGAAAATGTTCAAAAGTTTACGACCGACGAACGACGGACAACGCACGACGACGGACGAAAAGAGATAGAAATAGGTCACCTCAGTGACTTAGTGACCTAATAAACTTGAAGATGCTGATCTCCTGAAGATTATCACAAAACTGACTCAATAATATCATATCTCAAAGGTTAAGGTCATGTCATCAAGGTATTTCATTGATGGCCACGTGTATCATTGAGCAATGGGATTAATCATATGTTTTTGTCATACAAATTTAGATAGACATTGGTAAAACAAAATAAATTATTACAGTATCTACACTTATTCATGGTCAAATTATGCTTATAATACTAGGAACTAGTTTATCGGCAGATCTTTTCACTCAGTTCGATGCTGTCTTGAGAAGAATTCAAAATTATAACTACAAATCTTTTGAGACCAAGAATGAATATAAGGTTTTCTTTCCTCAGCAAACATATCTTTGGTCACACTGTTTGATGACCTGTCTTGTCCAAGAAATGTTATGACATTTGTAATTGATAAAAAATATATCTAAGTGAATAGAAGTTTAATCTAAGGTTACAAAGCATTTGCCCTGTAAATTAAAGATTTGTTATTTTCATCATCTCATCGCTGGGTGATTTCGACCTCGTAGATATATGACTCCTGTTGAACATTAAAAAAATCAGGGTTTTGATTCACTTCAGTCAAGGGTGGCACGTTTCAGTCTCAACACTTTTCACCTTCTCATTATTTGATGATCTTGCAACTTCACAATAACTTCGACATTGATAACAACATAATAAAGTCTTAATCTTTACAAATCAAGTATTCCTAATTTATAGCCGGGTCATAATTTTAACCTTGACCTCTGAGATATGACCTTGAGTCTAGATCATAATAAGCATCACTGGCATGGACATCAATTTACCTAAGTTTAACTTGATCCATGGCAAGATCGCAACAATTCTTATTACTCAGTGACCATGACTGAATTTGTACGAAAATTTCGAAATTTAAGTGTCCAGTCCGTGTTTTGTGCTTTTACCATTATTTTTTCTTTACCTAGTTGTTTTAAAGCCGAGTTTCTTGCCTTCGGTCAGAAAAGAAATTTGATTTGATATTTCGAAATTCTGCAAAAAATAATCGATTAATTATTTGGCATATTGGACGCTGGAATGGCCCAGACCGGCCCTGGTTGCAGAACACTTTGGAGAGCACAGGGGCTTGCTCCCGGCGTGTAATATTATTTATTAAAAAAATCATATACGGTAATACTAAAACAACACAAGGGAGGACGCCATTTTGGACCCCTTCCTCGCTTCAACCTCTGTTTTCGTTATATTTTCCCGTATTTTACTGACTCACCGCCTCGGATCTGTCAAGTAATGATTCTTCTAGGACATAATGCTTAAATTTTCCCCTTGGAGCCTCTACAATACACATTTCAGACTAATAATAATCCAAACTCGCTCTTTAGGACAGTTGATGGACAAACACCACCAAATGTTTTCCCATAGACTTCCATACAAAGTTTAGCCCCTGTCACTGATTCATATATTCAATTTTAGGCAAATGACTTTCTTGCCGTGAAAGTTCGAGATCTTGCAAAACAAAACATGCCAGAAAAAATATACCGTGCCGTTGCACTTTTACTTTCAAATTCCATTTGTTTACAACTAGGTGCGCACAGCACCAAATGAAAATCTCTAACCAAAGTGCACCCCTCCCTTCAAATTTTTACCTGTAACTCCTACATATCTCAAAGAAGCCTAAGTCTTGATATGAGATTTTTATCACCTTTATTTCACTTGTCAAATACATAACAAGTCTTTTCTCTTAATGACCAATCGTGTGCCGTGTAGCATTTTCTTCTCCGCACAACTTTGGGTGTCCAAAATGTCTGCGCCCATGTATAAGGTTATGTAGGTGTTTTTCCTATAATAGGGACAGAAAACGAAAACACATTCGAAAATCTCGGGGTTTTTCTACTAGTTAACACAGCTGCTAATTATAAATTTGAAAAAACCGCGTTCTAATTCCGTACTCAAATGTAAAACGCCGAGGTTACTTTCGTTTTCTGTCCCTATCAACTGTCCTAAAGAGCGAGTTTGGATTATTATTAGTCTGAAATGTGTATTGTAGAGGCTCCAAGGGGAAAATTTAAGCATTATGTCCTAGAAGAATCATTACTTGACAGATCCGAGGCGGTGAGTCAGTAAAATACGGGAAAATATAACGAAAACAGAGGTTGAAGCGAGGAAGGGGTCCAAAATGGCGTCCTCCCTTGTGTTGTTTTAGTATTACCGTATATGATTTTTTTAAAATAAATAATTATTACACTCCGGGAGCAAGCCCCTGTGTGGAGAGCTTTAAATACTATATACTCTTGGACTCCACCCAAACAAATTTGTGCACAACAAACCACGTTGCAACAAAACAATGCAAGACCACATGTCGCATGCGTTGTTCTTGGCGATATTAACAAAAGAACGAGAATGTAATGTATTGGCCTAGAATTTCTTCTAATTTTTCACTGGAAAGTCGTTTACTTAACTCAATAAAACCATCTTTGACGTCGTCCAGGAACTAGCAATCCGATTTCATCATGCATTACATTGAGACGTTGTTTTCAATCATACCTAAGATGTTAATGGCACTCACACCTGTTACTGAATTTTTGTATTTACTGAAGACACCTCAGTTCTTTTTGATAGCCTCAAACTAAATTACTCTAGACAATCAATATCGAGTAGTCTGTAGTTATTAATTGTAGACTTAACAATTACTATAGCACGAAAAACCTGTTGCACAATGAAAAGCTTACTGTCATGATCACGTATAGTGTGTAGATATGAACAATCTGTCTGCATCTATTGATAATTTAGCTCTTTTTTGTCTTGTATCCGGGCTGTTGTTGTAATCATGCATATGTTAATCAGTTTCACAATGATTCAAATATAATTGATATCATTGATCTAAATATCCGGGAAACTGAGAGCACACAGTCTACATTTTATCTTCCTTTTAAGATAATACAATCAATAACGCACTTATTGTTTATTATCCCTCAGATCATTCATATGAAATACATGTATTGACCTTTCCAAAAGGCATTATACAGAAGTGTGGCCCAAATAATCTTCGCATTCGTATCTTTTTATGTGACTTTAGATATATATGTATATACTTCTGAAGAGTGATATGTCAGTAGATAGCACTGATCCCCAGCTCCTATTAAGTAGTTAGTACCACTCCATTTGAACATGCTTTGACTATTAGTTAAGAACGGGGCATATTTCAGGAAAACAGGACTGCGTACGCCAAGGTTTAGGGTTTACTTTTCACTTTTTACTTTTAGGGTTACTATGGAAGAATTACATTCCAATCCAGGTAGGCAAAAAGAAATCTGAATAATCAGCACTAAATGTTGACCTCAGTTTCCCATCCTCCTTTGCTGGCCATTTGTAATAAATCACGGTTCCATTATTCAGCCAGCTAGACCACCACCCAAATGTACCCACTGTTTGAATCACGTGGTCAGAAGAGGCTAACAGAGCCATGTCAACTTCCGGTGTATTTCCAACACTAAATTCCACTCTAACGTTCTTTGGCATATATTTTTGCGACCAAGCTAAGTCCATTGAACATACTAGGAAAATAGTATTTTTATACTTTTTGAAAAATTCTACTGCGCGAGAGATATATTCAGGTGTAGCTACGTCATAGCCAAGTGGGTTCGTCAACATGTCTCCACGACGTATGTGAACGCCAATAAACGTTACGTCAGATCGTGACGTAAAATTAAATTTTCTCCAAGTTCTTTCTTGAATTTCAGTCACTTTTTGACGTATATGTTTTCTAAACGTCATTTGTTTTCGCAGATTTTGAGAAGAATCATTGAAATATTTCCACGACTGAAGTCCCCAGCCCATAAATATGTTTGAAACCACAGTAAAATTCTCCAATTGTGGATCGTAACGACTACACCACCTTTCATATCTCTGGGGTGTTCCTTTACATGCCTTCAAATCAGGCACAAGCAAAAGATGGCTGTCATTCTTAAGTTCAAACACAGAGTCTACTAATCCTCGTTGCTTAATAACCGAAACCATATTCTTTTTAGCAGCAATGCCATATCCAGATGCGAACTCAAACATATGGTTTCCTAACCTTCCCCTGGTTCCAACACATAGTAAGAATTTGGGTTCTTTCTTCGGAAAATAAGTTGAAGACGAAACACTTTTCAAAGTCGGAGTGTCTTCGATTGTAGAAGTTTTCAGAGCAGTGGATGAAGTTTGTGCATTCGATTTGATGCTTGTCGTTTTCAAACGAAGAGGGGATGTTGATTTTTGAACAGTTTCTTGTGTTGTTTTATTGAAGTTTATATCGGTATGGATAGAATCATTCTTCGAAGAACGAGACTTGACATTCAGCCTTGTTTCAACACCATGGTACCTAACTCGTAGTGGATACTTTCTGGTGATTAGCAAATGTTGAAGTATTCCAAGTATGACGATAAAGTATACAGTCAGTAAGACTCCTGTTAAAATAGGGCTTTAATTTATTCCATTTTGTGGATGAAAATTCAAATTTTCTACCGTTTGTAAATGTGTTTTAGTTTGATTAAAAATTTTTTCAATAAAAATTAGACAAATAAAAAAAGAGCATCACTTTTCTATAAATGAGATCTCTAACTCTCTCTAAAAAAATTCTAAAATGGACATTTTCCACAGTAAAACACGATGGTAAGGAATTACGATTCATAGAATACGTGCTTCGCAGAAACTGAAACTAAGTTATGCAAACATGTACTAAAAATTTAATAAGACAGAAGTTTAAAAAAAAACGAAGAACAGATGTAACGAACCGATGTTCAGCGCCCCCTAAATTTCGCTATAATTGTTTTATTACTTACGGTAACATACCCCATTAATAACAAGGAATTTAGATCAAATAATGATAAAAAATTAACTTACCATTTATATATTGTCTGTACATTTCAATTTTAAGTATAGTTCGCGTTTTGATACATGTAGATCGAGGAAGCTATCAGATACGAGATGTAGTTATCCATAATGATTGTACACCATCTGTACATTGGATCAAACCAACCTTACATTAATTGTCCTTAAAAAAAAGTAGCAATACTGTTACATGGTTTTATTTACGTCTGGGGGGTTACGGTTCAATATTTTGGTTAATTCATTCTGCTGATAAAAAAATTTCCCTGTCTTCAGCGGTCCATGCCACCGACGGAGAGTTATCTTGACAGGCTAAAGTAACGAGGTTTCCGCTGTAGTCTAGATTCCAATAAGGTGTTGATATCAAAAAGTGTTAAACGGGTTCAAAGTTATTTTTGAAACCGTGGTATATTTTAAGACATATTTGATTACTAGATGAAATCTAAAGTAATAAATTATGTTCTTCTCTAAAGCATAAATTGGCAAAAAATAGGTAAAGTAAACAAAGGTTTTTGATGGAATAAGTTCCTGCATTAGTAAGTTTTTTGTTGTAAATTAATTGCATATCATCATGGAGATGTGTTTGGCATGATTTTCTGACTTTCTGTCTGTCTGTCGTTTCGTCTGTTTATAGCTTTCTGTTTCTCCCAAATCGTTTCCGGTCCATAAGTCGAGATGCCTTAAGCTTGATCTTGAATACGTTGTATGTCGATCATGACCTTAGCTTAATGATATATTTCAAAGGTCAAGGGCACTGGGTATGAAAATACACTGTTGTGAAATTGTATCCAGACTATATGTCTAGAACCCTTGACTGGAGGCTATTCAAAATTAATTTGTTGTTACTGATGACCAAAAGGTGTTCTCAACTCAACGTCATATCTCAATGATCATGTATGGTTACTGGGCGATGAAATATTGAAATTATGAAGCAATACTTTGGAACCTAATTTGATTGAATATAAACTTGAAGATGCTGATCTCCTGAAGATTATCACAAAACTGACTCAATAATATCATATCTCAAAGATTAAGGTCATGTCATCAAGGTATTTCATTGATGGCCACGTGTATCATTGAGCAATGGGATTAAACATATCTTTTTGTCAAACAAATCTACCTAGATATTGGTAAAACTTTATAAATTACAATGTCTACACTGATCCATGATCATATCATACTAGTAACTAGTTTATCGGTAGATCTTTTCACTCAATCCGATGCTGTCTTGAGAAGAATTCAAAATTATAACAACAAATCTTTTAAGACCAAGAATGAATATTACTATTAGTATCTTTTTCCTCAGCAAATGCATGTATATCTTTGGTCACACTGTTTGATGACCTGTCTTGTCCTTGAATCAAGAAATGTTATGACATATGTAATCGATAAAAAAAAAAGTTTAATCTATAAGGTTACGAAGCATTTGCCCTGTAAATTAAAGATTTGTAATTTTTATCATCTCATCGCTGGGTGATTTCGACCGTAGATATATGACTCCTGTCTAACATTAAAACAATCAGGGATTTGATTCACTTCAGTCAAGGGTGGCACGTTTCAGTCTCAACACTTTTCACCTCATTATTTGGTGATCTTGCAATTTCACAATAATTTCGACATTGATAACAACATACCCTAATAGAGTTTTAATCTTTACAAATCAGGTATTCCTAATTTATAGCTGGGTCATAATTTTAACCTTGACCTCTGAGATATGACCTTGAGTCTAAATCATAATAAGTAACTCTGGCATGGACATCAATTTACCTAAGTTTAACTTGATCCCAAAAGTAAAGTCATTGCAAGATTGCAACAATTCTTATTACTCAGTGACCATGACTGAATTTGTACGAGAATTTCGAAATTTAAGTGTCCAGTCCGTGTTTTGTGCTTTTACCATTTTTTATTCTTTACCTAGTTGTTTTAGAACCGAGTTTCTTGCCTTCGTTCTGAAAAGAAATTTGATTTGATATTGTGAAATTCTGCAAAAAATAATCGATTAATTATTTAGCACATTGGAAGCTGGAATGGCCCAGACCCTGGATACAGAACACTTCGGAGAGTTTTAAATACTATACTCTTGAGACACCACCCAAACAAATTTGTGGACAACAAACCACGTTGCATTAAAACAATGCAAGACCACATGTTGCATGCGTTGTTCTTGGCGATATTAACAAAAGAACGAGAATGTAATGTATTGGCCTAGAATTTCTTCTAATTTTTCACTGGAAAGTCGTTTACTTAACTCAATAAAACCATCTTTGACCCCGTCAAGGAACTGGTCCATACTGAATCAGCATTCTACAAACTTTTATATAAGCAGTCTGGTTTCATCACTGCACTGAGACGTTGTTTTGAAACATACCTAAGATGTTAATGGCAGTCACACCTGTTATTGACTTAAGTCTTTGTGTATTTACTGAAGACACCTCAGTTCTTTTTGATAGCCTCAAACTAAATTGCTCTAGACAATCAATATCGAGTAGTCTGTAGTTATTAATTGTAGACTTAACAATTACAATAGCACGAAAACCTGTTGCAAAATTAAAAACACTGCGATGATCACGTATAGTGTGTAGATATGAACAATCTGTCTGCATCTATTGATAATTTAGCTCTTTTTGTCTCGTATCTGGGCTGTTGTTGTAATCATGCATATGTTAATCAGTTTCACAATGATTCAAATATAATTGATATCATTGATCTAAATATCCGGGAAACTGAGAGCGCACAGTCTACATTTTATCTTCCTTTTAAGATAATACAATCAATAACGCACTTATTGTTTTTTATCCCTCAGATTATTCATATGAAATACATGTAATGACTTTTCCAAAAGATACTATACAGTGTATAATGCCGAAAACTACTAGGTAATTGGGTTTACAAGAACTTGATTCTTTGCATAAAAATGTAGGTAGTACATGTATATTATAAGACGCTCACATTATACAGAAGTGTGGTCCAAATAATCTTCGCATTCGTATTTTTATGCCCCCGTATCGAAGATTCGGGGGTATATAGTTTTTGTCCTGTCCGTCCGTCTGTCTGTTTGTCTGTTTATCTGTTTGTCCGCAAAAACTTTAACATTGCCGATAACTTTTGATTGGTTGGAGCTATGGCTTTCATATTTCATATGTGTATTCCTTGTGACAAGACCTTTCTTTGGGGACCACCATATTTGACCTTCTGATCTTGACCTTGGAGTTTGACCTAGTTTTACAAAATTTTACCCAACTTTAACCTTGGCCATAACTTTTGAACAAATGGAGCTAGGGCTTTCATACTTCACATGTGTAATCCTTGTGACAAGACTTTCCTTTGGATACCAACAACTTTGACCCTTTTACTTTGACCTTGGAGTTTGACCTATTTTTGAAAAACTTTAACATTGGCCATAACTTTTGAACAGTTGGTGCTAGGGCTTTCATACTTCACATATGTAATTCTTGTGACGAGTCCTTCCTTTGGATACCAACAACTTTGACCTTTTGACCTTGGAGTTTGACTTACTTTTGAAAAACTTTAACCTTGGCCATAACTTTCCAATGGTTGGAGCTAGGGCTTTCAAACTTCACATATGTAATCCTTGTGACAAGACCTTCCTTTGGATACCAACAACTTTGACCTTGGAGTTTGACTTACTTGTGAAAAACTTTAACCTTGGCAATAACTTTTGAACCGTTGGTTCTAGGACTTTCAGACTTCACATATGTAATCCTTGTGACAAGACCTTCCTTTGGATACCAACAACCTTGACACTTTGACCTTGGAGTTTGACCTACTTTTGGAAAACTTAAACCTTGGTCATAACGTTTGAACGATTGGTGCTTCAGCTTTCATATTTCACCAGTATATTTCTTGTGAGAAGGCCTTTCCTTAGGCACCATTATTTTTACCATTTGACCTTGACCTTGATGTTTGACTTACTTTTGAAAAACCTTATCCTTTTCCATATCTATTCAATGGTTGCCGCTAGGGCTTTCATATTTGCACAGGATATTCCTCGAGACAAGACCTTACTTTGGGTACCAACATATTTGATTTGCATTTGAGAAAGTTTAACCTTTGCTATAAGTTGCCATACGGGGGCATCATTGTTTTTAAGTGACTTTAGATATATACGTATATACCTCTGAAGAATGTGATGTCCGTAGATATCACTGACCCCCAGCTCCTATCAAGTAGTTAGTACCACTCCATTTAAACATACTTTGACAATTAGTTAAGAGCGGGGGCATATTTCAGGAAAACAGGACTGCGAACGTCAAGGTTTAGGGTTTAGTCTTTCACTTTTTACTATGGAAGAATTACATTCCAATCCAGGAAGGTAAAAAGAAATCTGAATAATCAGCACTAAATGTTGACCTTAGTTTCCCATCCTCCTTTGCTGGCCATTTGTAATAAATCACGGTTCCATTATTCAGCCAGCTAGACCACCACCCAAATGTACCCACTGTTTGAATCACGTGGTCAGAAGAGGCCAACAGAGCCATGTCAACTTCCGGTGTATTTCCAACACTAAATTCCACTCTAACGTTCTTTGGCATATATTTTTGCGACCAAGCTAAGTCCATTGAACATACTAGGAAAATAGTATTTTTATACTTTTTGAAAAATTCTACTGCGCGAGAGATATATTCAGGAGTAGCTACGTCATAGCCAAGTGGGTCCGTCAGCATGTCTCCACGGCGTATGTGAACACCAATAAACGTTACGTCAGATCGTGACGTAAAATTGAATTTTCTCCAAGTTCTTTCTTGAATTTCAGTCACTTTTTGACGTATATGTTTTCTAAACGTCATTTGTTTTCGCAGATTTTGAGAAGAATCATTGAAATATTTCCACGACTGAAGTCCCCAGCCCATAAATATGTTTGAAACCACAGTAAAATTCTCCAATTGTGGATCGTAACGACTACACCACCTTTCATATCTCTGGGGTATTCCTTTACATGCCTTCAAATCAGGCACAAGCAAAAGATGGCTGTCATTCTTAAGTTCAAACACAGAGTCTACTAATCCTCGTTGCTTAATAACCGAAACCATATTCTTTTTAGCAGCAATGCCATATCCAGATGCGAACTCAAACATATGGTTTCCTAACCTTCCCATGGTTCCAACACATAGTAAGAATTTGGGTTCTTTCTTCGGAAAATAGGTTGAAGACGAAAAACTTTTCACAGTCGTAGCGTCTTCGATTGTAGAAGTTTCCAGAGCAGTGGATGAAGTTTGTGCATTCGATTTGATGCTTGTCGTTTTCAAACGAAGAGGGGATGTTGATTTTTGAACAGTTTCTTGTGATGTTCTATAGGAGTTTATACCGGTATAGATAGAAGTATTCTTTGAAGAACGAGACTTGACATTCAGCCTTGTTTCACCACCAAGGTACCACACTCGTAGTGGATACTTTCTGGTGATTAGCAAATGTTGAAGTATTCCAAGTATGACGATTAAGTATACAGTCAGTAAGACTCCTGTTAATAAAGTTCAAATAGAGGCTTTAATTTATTCCATTTCGTGGATGAAAATTCAAAGAAGATGGGTGAACAAGGCGTGCAGAATGCCAATAGCTTCAGATATTAAAAAAATCATATTCAATTTTTGAATTAATTTATAAGTATTTAAAGCAAAGTTCTCATTATTGAAATTTATGAAATTATGATCAACAAAACTTTTCTGAGAAAAAAAAATCTCGGAAAAACTATTCTTTTAGTAAAAAATATAAAATGGTATTCGTGGAATTCGAACCCCTGACAATAAAAATCCGGAGTATCATATTGCAGGCAAATAATTTCAGTCTTTGTGAGATTTTTGTAAATTATAGAGATTTTACATAAAGTATACTTTAATTTTAGATGAAATATCAAAGAAATTTTTGGATATAATCGAGATTTTATTTTTCACTTCTTGTTTGTCGCACTATAGGCACTTCGCCCGCCTTGTTCACCCATCTTCTTTTCTACCGCATATAAATTTTAGTTTGATTAAAAAAAATAAAAAAATTAGAAAAATAAAAAAAAAAAAAGCATCACTTTTCTATAAATGAGATCTCTAACTCTCTCTAAAAAAATGTCTTAAATGGACATTTTCCACAGTAAAACATGATGGTAAGGAATTACGATTTATAGAATAGTCGTGCTTCACAAAAACTGAAATCAAGTTAAAAATTATGCAAACATGTATTAAAAATGTTAATAAAACATAAGTTTAAAAAGCCCGAAGAACAGATGTAACGAACCGATGTTCAGCGCCCCCTAAATTTCGCTATTATTGTTTTATTACTTACGGTAATATACCCCATTAATGACAAGGAATTTAGATCAAATAATGAAAAACATTAACTTACCATTTATATATTGTCTGTACATTTCAATTTTAAGTATAGTTCGCGTTTTGATAGATCGAGGAAGCTATCAGATACGAGATGTATGTATTATCCATATTGATTGAACACCATCTGTACATTGGATCAAACCAACCTTACAATGTCCTTAAGAAAAGCAGCAATACTGTTACATGGTTTTATTTACGTCTGGGTTACGGTTCAATATTTTGGTTAATTCATTCTGCTGATAAAAATGTACAGTTGATTAACATCTGAAGTCCGATTTTGAAAAAAAAAAAAGAAGGGTAGATTTAGACGAATATTTCTTAAAACACGGCAAAATTGGTATGATTTTTTATAAATAATTTCTTCATACTTTTAAATGGTGGTCATCTATGAGTTTGATATGATTATTTGAGTAACAGATTTATAGTACTGATTATATAATATAGAGAGGGTTATAGGTACCGGAAAGGGGGGTTATCTCCGGTATATAGTATCTATACTATAAATTAATAAATTTTCCAAATTAATAATAAATTTTCCAAATTAACTCCAAAATTGCATGCACCGGAGTTCATACTTACTCCTTCAATATTGCTCTAGGTATAAGAGGAGGTCCGTAAACTATAGTTAGATTTACTTGCATAGTAATTATTGTAAATTTAATTAAAGGTTCTACTTTCGTTTTCGATAAACAGACGTGAAATAGCAAAAAAGAGTACGGTGGTGGTTACGGTTGGTAGCAATCGCATCATCTCGGGCCTTTCCGTCAGAGATCGGAGAGTTTTTCCGCTTGCCGCTTCCGCGGTTGGTGGATCTCAGTTAATGGCAATTTCTGATGAAACTGACAAGCAGTCGTTTAATTATTACAAAAAACGTCATTAGTGAATTATTCAACCAAAACCTGATTTAAGTGATATAGAAAAAAAGTTGTTATAACTGATTAAAAAACAAAAAGTGCCAATCGTTTTCGTCAGTCCCCGATCTTAGTCTTGATGAAAATTTCCAGAACGTAATATGGCATCTAACCCGATGTTTTAACTTACGCATTAATTTAAAAAAAAAAAAATCTTTGATGTAAATGGTCACGGTAATAATGGTGAAGCATTGATAACACTATAAATAGTCAATATATTTAAATATCGAAAGACTATACCCCTGGTAAGTAAGTTGTAATGATAAATCTATCCGTAAAATGTGCATATTCGCCTCTGAGAGCGTCATGGCAACGAACCCGAAGTGCAATACGTATAATGTAATAAACTTGCTTATACATGTAAAGAGAAAATGTCAGTTAAAGAATATGATCTTGTTCAAATGTATGAAGTAAAAGTGGTGCAATATTGTAAGTTTCAAATTTTACTAATTCAAAGTTCTTACTGGGGGATTTTGAACAAAGTATTTCCACTTGCTACATGTATAAGACTGTAATTAACTGTCAGTAGAAAGTATGAGAGAAATTATTGGATTGTTCTGCGTTATTAGCAATGGTAAAATTCAATTTCCTGCGCTTGCGCGTGATATCATCTAGTACTTTAGAACACAAAGCTACTTTATAGATGGGCCCCCAATAATTACGTCTGATGACTTCTTTTTCGTTTGTCAAGGAATTTTTGTTTGTACAAGTAATTCGACTGAAACGCACCATTCCTATTAATATTTTTGCATGGTTTATTTTTTTAAATTTCGCTTTCGTTTTGAAAATGCCGTTGACTATTAAAAAAAACAGTTAGTAAAGATGAAAAATTGTTTCACATGTACCACCACTCCAAAACCTTTGCCAAATTTCCTGCTCTATTCGAACACACTCTTTTTATGGTAGAATGATCTTCTTTTTCCGTATATATTAATATAGTTCAAAAAAGTAAAATATGAGTTTCTTTCTCCTCTCTGCATATAAAGTTACTCGATCACAGAAAATTTAAAGTAAACATAATTATGTAATGAACTTAAATTATGGTGTACATAGGTTGATCTTAATTTTAAAATATTTAATGTATCGTGCATTAACATTTGGAACGCATATAAAGCAAAGTCAGTGATGTAATGTGCTTTCTTATGGGAGAGGACTATCTAAGTTTTTAGAACTTGTGTGCAATCCCTTTGACATACTGTCAATAAAATATGTTAAAAAAAGTGCTTTCTTAATGTCCATAAATTAGTAAATACACGTAGTCAATTTTTATTGCTGTTGCAGATGTTTAATAAGAGTTGATTCTTTCTTGGCAATAAATGTAGACTACATATCATGAATGATGCGTGGATTATTTAAGGAATCACTGTCTAGTTAGTAGAGTATGCCAGGGCATCAACCATAGTTGGAAACGTGGGATAATTTGCATAACGGGCGAAGCCCGTTATGCATAAATTATCCCACGTTTCCAACTATTGTTGATGTCCCTGGCATACTCTACTAACTAGACAGTGATTCCTTATATTTCCATTTCATTTTGAAATAAAATTGTAAATTTAGATTTTAAAAATGTAGACTAATAGATTTAAATTACACAGCTGTTAGACGAGGCCTCACATGTCAATTTCAATAGTCCCCGCCCACTGACGTCAAACACAAAGACAGCCGCACGAGAAGTACGTGCATATTAGGCCTCCTTAGAGTCAGACAAAAAGACAGCCGCACGAGAATTACATGCATATTATGCCTTCTTAGATACTGACCTTTCGCTTGGCAAAATTTGCATTCCGTTAGAATGATCAAGAAATCAACGCTCCTAACTTTCAAAGAGTTATCACAGAGAAAACAAATAGAAATGGAAATATATGGATTTTAAGATCTAGAGAAAATGCTTGGAAGATACTGATATTTAGATAAGAAATGTCAGAACTTACAATTATTGCAGCTGTTCTGTGCAACAGCGGATATCACGAATGACATTATGTGACCTTATATCATCTCAATGGCAAATTAATTATTATCAAATTAATAAACCATGACTAGTGCCATCCTCCCCATTTTGAAAATAATTTTTTGTGTTATGTCAATCTTTAGTCGTAAAATCAAATCTTAAAATATTATTTAAAATAGATTGGTGGGAGTACAATTCGAGAGATGAAGTTTTTTTAAAAAAAAAAAAATTAAATTTAATATCAGATGGATTATATTATCATGTATGAGAATTAAGGACCGAAAGTTCCACTTCGTTTATACTTTTAAGTTAAGAAAATGTAATAATAATACAACTATCCCTATCCCGAAAGTCACCCTTCGAACCATCGATTTGTGAAATTGAAAAATTACATGTACATCCAACTCCTTCAAAAATTCAAATTTGCGGTACACCACAGCGATCTCAATGTTGGTCCAGGTTAATGAAATGTAGAACGTTTTGTATCCTCTACAGTCTTAATCGGATATTGCTATAATAATTATCACAATAAGCGGGACTTTACCTTACTACCATCATAATTCTCAATTAAATATCGTATCCATCTGTCTAAACAATCTTAACTATAATTACTATAATAATAATCACAATATCCGGGATCTTTCTTTATTATCATCATACATGTACTGATCAATGAAATGCTTGCTCAGTTAGAGCGTTCCTCTTAAGTGTGAATATCCATCAGGTCAGTCTTGACACTGACCTTTTCCTTTGCCAGGAACCTGGCATCGTAGGTGAGAGTTACTTACTTAAGGAATTATACTGTGTGTGTACATTTTACAGGTACAGTACTCAAAATTAAGCACGCTGGTAGGTCATACAATGAATATTTGGCATAATCATGTTTCAGTGACCTTGGGTGTTTATACTTAATATTACACAGATAATAGCGGTATAATATTATACTAATGTATCATTGATTCCTGTGTCAAATTAAGAAAAAAAAAGTTCCATGAAAGTCATTTATTTTTTTGCTCATGTAAAAAAAAATTGTGACGATCCTGGTTAAATAGAGAAATGTGCCTTTAAAACTTTCCTTTTCAGCTACTTTCTGTAACTTTGTCATTTCATTAAAAATTACAGTAGAACATGGCATTGCTTTCTTTGTTTAAATAAGTTCTGGTTTTCAAGAACAAAAAATGCATTTTTTTGGCAACAACTTTCAGGAATTTCTTATCTGAAACTTGTGGAGGTTAGTAACAAATAAAGGAAAGTTGGTTTAAAGTAATTTCTAAAATTTTTGAATTAAATGATGAGCATGTGACATAAAGCACTTTGCTTTTTCCTTATATTGTAACAAAATACAAAGAAAATCTATTTGAAAATAACATCTAAGCTACTATATCACAATATACACATAGATGAAAAAAAGACTAGAGGAGAAAAAAATCAGTTAAATTCTTACATGTGTAAGTAAATATCTAAGTTGTTCTGGGGCATTGCTTTCAATTCTAACCATAATTCTTTGCATTTCACTTGCATATAATATTTATCAACAAAAGGTCCATGGGCAACATTGCTCACCTGAGCACTTTTGGCTAGAGAAAAGCAGAAATCAGTTCAGTATTGAAAGGTTTCAATATGTAAGTGATCCCCCCATCCCCCTTGTGAGCAGCTGGGGAGGGGGTCATGATTTGAACAAAATTGAACCAACACTACCTGAGCATGCTTCTATATAAACATGACTAATCATGGCTTTGCTGTTCTGAAGAAGAAGATTTTTAAAGATATTTCCTATTTATTCCTATGTAAAACTTTGACTACCTATTGTGGCCCCACCCCGAGGTCATGATTTGAACAAACTTGAATTTACACTACCTGATCATGAGGATGCTTCCCTATGACTAATCATGGTATCATTATTTGAACAAACTTGAATCTACACTATGTAATACAGCTTTTACATAAGTTTCATATTTTCTGGTCCAGTGGTTATTGAGAAGAAGATTTTTAAATAATGTCATTAATTTTTGAATAATTATTAATTATCTACCCTTGAAAGAGGGCATATGCATGGCCCATCATTTAAACAAACTTTTAATCCCCTTCACACAAGAATGCTGATATTTGGCAAGTTTGCTTGAAATTGTCCCAGTGGTTCTTGAGAAGTTGAAAATGTAAAAAATTTACAGACGACAAATGCCAGACATCCTGCATTCAGAAAAGCTCACTTGAGCCTTGGGCTCAGGTGAGCTAAAAACTTGATATGAAAATTGTTCAATACACAGTAACAAAGACTCTGAGGTTATGGAATTGCAGTCATAATTTACAATGGTTTTATCCATAAGTGATTTTAAAATGGTTACATGTACTAATGGTATTACACTATGGAATTTTAATTAATACATACATACTGGTTGTTTTTTCCAACGTACTGAGTATATTAAGTTTGGGGGGAAAAATACTTTGAAATATTTTTTCAAGTGAGAACTTTTTCCATGTTACACATGCTATAGCACTTTGTAGAGCATAAAAGATGGTGGACGTCATTATCCTTTAGACATGTACAGACCGAGGAGAAAATCCTTAACATAAATAAGTGGTTGCATTTTTTTTGAAGATTTGAAGATTTGAGGGCATTTTGTGCATAGGGGTAGAATATTGTTCTTTGGCAAAAAAATATCATCATAGACTACAAATAAATATAATTACTTTGTTCAATTGTTAAACAAACATTTGCAAAAAGAAAAGTAATGTAGATCTTAAAAAAAACATTAATTAAAAAGGTAAATAAATGAAATGTGGAGTATATAAATTCTTCCACATTTGTGAGTACATGTATATGGTCAAAGATTATACAGAATTCAATACTTTAAGGGTTGATTTAAGTGTGATCCTGAGAAGCTTTGTAAACCTGTCCATTCTTCTACCCTTCAGCTGCAGTAGGGTCTAAAATCACAACCCTGCTTTCCCTCTTTCCATCAGCTGACCTAAATCATAAAAGAATACATAGTACTTAAAAAATTGTAAAAGAAGGCTTGTACAAATAATGATATTAGAATACATGTATGTTGAAAAAAACTAAGACTTCTGAAGCTTGTGTATTTAAGAAAGAATTTAATATCTACCCAATTTGTACCTTGTAAAACCTGGGTTGGAGCAGATTACGATTATTTACATACCTGCTTTGGCCTTCCCCATTTACAAAGCGTAAACTGTCCCAACCCAGGTTACATGTATACAGTATAAAATAATTCCCATAAAAAATGACTTTAAATTGTACGAAATTTAAATGCAACATCAAGTGGATTGATACTTTTTTTTTTTATACTTATATATTGATAAAGAGGCAACACAGGTTATACGATATGAACTAATTTTTTTCAACCAATCAAATGCCACATTACAAACAAAATTAAATTATTTTATTTTAGAGGGTGTACAGCAATGTTGATCATATATTTGAAAAAATCTGTACAGATCTTTATGATATAAAGGTTAGGAAAGAAAATTTTTAAGTTCTATATCTTAAATAGAAGAAAAGAATGGAAGTTTTTCAAAGAAACAACATAAAAGAAAAAAAGGTCAACATATCAATTTATGAAACTTACTTGGACATTAGTTTAATTTTGGATTCTAAATCTACTTTCACTTTCTTTTCATATGGAAGCCATGTTTTTCCATCATCCAGACTATAGAACAGAGGAAGCCCTGGATAAACTGCATTCATTTCCAGCTCTCCATTCACAATTCTACAAACAACACAAGGCAAAGAAAAGATAATAATAATGTTTCAAAAAATGTTTTAAAAAAATAAAATTCTACTATCTAGAGAAGATACAGTATCAGGAAAAAATCAAAGATGAATACATGTATAACTTTTCAAAAACTAAGCAACAAGTGCAACTATATTTCAAGCATCTATAAACATTTTTTTTTAATTCGGGTCATATACATTTACCAGAAAATTTTGAATTCAAATTGACTGTAATTTTGTCACAGATTCAATAATACTTGTATACACATTTATATTATTTATTTACCTTGCCCCTGGAGGGGTGAGGTGATATGACACACCCAGCCTGTCCAACACCTTAAGTTCCCTGTATCCCAAATTGTTGGCAAAAACTGCCCAGTCCTTGTTCAGTCTGGCTCCCCTTGACATGCTGTCCTCCACATCTTCCCATGATGCCTTGTGCCATGACCGTTCAGCTACGGCCAGCAGTCGAGGGAAAATCATAGCATCCATCTCATTTGAGGTTCTCACTAATTCAGTCCACAAATGTCCCTGCATTCCTGCGAAAAAATACATAATGAGATATGAAATTCACATAATAGTTGGTTTTTTTTTTACAGTCAAACCTTGATTTCTAAATGATGGTGGGACTTTCAGATAACTTCTTATTTGAGATACTGAGGTTGAAATAATATACGGTTGAGACTGCCAACTCACTTCAGCATATCCCTGATATTTGGTTTCAAAATAACAAGGTTCAACTTTATATGGCCTATCATTATAGAATTCTGAAATTAATACTGGGCATTGCTTGTCTACATCTATTAAGATTTATACGTTATTTATTTGTACCCGGTACATTTCCTTCTTTTGTATACATGGAATCGTGCATAAATTCAAAATAATTGAAACTGAATATGAGTTACAAATTTTCAGGTACGACATTATAAAAGGAAAACTAAGAAACTAAACAATTTCTTTATATCAATTTAATACTGTACAAATTGGATAGTTAGGCACAATTATGGATACTTTCAAGCATGAAAATAATTCAAGAATTAACATTGAATAAGTCAATAAACCAATTAATTAAATCACTTGGAATTCAAAAGATCACTTGAAGATGGTTCATGTGTATTAATTGACAATTAAGAGAGGGTATAATAATTCAATAGGCAAGTACAAAATAATAACTGAAATACTACATATAAGGGGAAATTTTTGCCAGTTTCATTTTTGTCCCCTTTGCCCTACTCACAGGTGATCGATTTCAAAATGGGGCGTATTCAAAGAACACAGTATAATTTTGTAGACAGAACTGTGACTTGGCAAATTTTAAACAGGGCAAAATTGTTTACAAGTGTGAAAAGGTTGAAAATAACACAGGGCAAAAATAGCCCTGTATACAGTACTTAATCACTTAATGAAAGACTTTCATTTAAATATTTTAAAGAAAACAGTATAATCACAAGTTGAGAGATGAAATCAGGGAAGAAAAGCATGATTAATTTCCAGGATAAACTTGATAGTAAGATATGAAAAACATTGTGCACTGTACCTAGAATATTTCCATGCTCTTTCAGAGGATCATGGTCCTCTGGGTGCTTAGTCAATAAAGTGTCCATACTAATGGGGTCACCGGTCAGCTTGACATCTGCGTTGGCGTAGATGTTATCTGGCATAAAGCCAAACGTTTTCCTGGTATCACAGAACCGACAGGCCCAGTACAGTCCCCGCTCCTCTGGGTCCGGTTCGTAGGGGTGGTCAAAATAGAGGTGGGTGCCTTGAGCCATCACAACCTAAAGACATTTCATTTGTCAAACAGTTTTCTTTTAAAGAGACATTTTCAAACAAAAAATAAAACAAGAGGCTCATGGGCCACAATGTTCACCTGAGTAACTTTAGGCCCTGACAATCTTGAGAAGATTTTTAAAACATTTTCTCCATCATATTTTTATGAAAAAATTGTGACTCCATAGTGCATGTATAGCCCATCCTAACTCTAAGGGTTCTCTGAATCCACATAAGATACGGATGCTTCAATATCAATATCACTAACATGGCCTTGCAGTTATGGAGAAGAAAATTCTTTTCCTGTATATAAATGCATTATGTAAAATTTGATCCTGATTTTCGGCAACTGTAACCCAGGGTCTATAATTTAAAAAAAAATTGAATCCACACAACTTTGAAATATTTGCAAATAAATGGTTCTACTGTGGTTCTTGAGAAGATTTTAATTTTTTTTCTTATCTGTAAAACTTTGATCCCCTATCGTGGCCTCATCCTATACCCCTGTGGACCATGCTTTCAACAATTTAGAATCTAAATTTTATTAGGAAGGTTTCGTATAAGTTTCATCTTTTCAGGTCCAGTGGTTCTTGAGAAGAAGATTTTTAAAGAATTCTCCTATATATTCAAATGTAAAACTTTAATCCCCTACTGTGGCCCCAACCTACCCTCAGGGGAGCATGATTTGAACAATTCAGAATTTCCACCCTACCCTTGGGGGAGAGGCAAGATTTGAACATTTTTGAATTTACAGAAAGCTTTCACATAAGTTTCACCTTTTCTGGCACAATGGTTATTGAGAAGACTTTTAAATGACACCCCCTTATTTTTGCCTTTTCTTGATTATCATCCCTTGGAAGGGGGCTTGCTCCTTCAAATGAACCAATCAGAATCCCCTTTACTCAACGGTGCTTTGTGCTAACTTTGTTTAAATTGGCCCAGTTGTTCTCAAAAAGAAGTCAAAAATGTGAAAAGTTTATAGATGGACAGACAGACAGGTGAGCTTCAAAAAGTTCTTTGTCAAGGCAGGCATTTGCATGACAAATGAACCTACATGTAATTCTATGGCATCAAGTCCATAAAATAAAGCAACAAATTACAAATACTTTACACACATTTTGGACATATATCATTACATGTAGCTGTTTATCATGGCTGTGGTTGAGATTTCTGGAGCACTTTTTTGGGTGTGGCATATATTCAGCCTAGTTGGGGGGTCAGACAGACCTACCAAAATTTACTTTTTGGTAAAAATGTCATTGCTGAGAATAAAACTACACAATCAATCAATCTTACCTTGTAGCCATTGTTAGCCAATCTATATGCACATCCAGATAAACCTGACTCCCAAACATTCTGCCAGGTGTACACATGGACTTCTTTGTTGGGAAATTCTGACCTGTCAACTGGCTCTAAGAACACTTCATCATGGATCACCCCATCCTGCCATGCCCCCATGATCAAGTCATGCTTAGCCACAATTTTTGCCACTCGCTTTACGAAATATTCCATTAGTTTGGAGAAACCCTTAACTTTTCTACTTTTGACCAATGCTTTACATGCTTCTGAATCTTCCCAAGTTTCATATGGAACCTCATCACCTCCAAAGTGAAAAGTCTTTAGAGGTGCAACTGGCTCATGCATCTTCTGCACCTCTGCTACCACTTTATCCACAAACCTGTATGTAGATTCCAATCCAGGATCCATGGAATTCTCCGAAAACATCTGTACAGACTGAGCATGTAAAGACTCATCCACACTACAAAGCAGGAACTCCTCTGCCTTTTTCATATCACCTGTCTTCTTGTATTTGTAGTAACGGGCTTTCATTGCCATAATGGCTGCATGACTATGACCAGGCATGTCAATTTCTGGGATGACTTCAATATGCCTACGTCTGGCAAACTGTAGGATTTCTTGATAGTCCTCTACTGAGTAGAAGCCAGTCCCTGAGGAGGTCAAGTGAGGCCCTGAACCTAGCATAGGTAATATACAGGTCCTCTCTGTAAGGTCATGACCTCTCTTGCTTCCAATCTGAAATGAATTCATGTACACGTACCATTGATATCTATCTGAATAGCTTGAATTGAATATAAAGCAAGTTGAAGCAAAAAATGATCGGACAGATCCAAGAGTTAATTTTCTACACTGAATGTGTATTTGTATATATAGTAAAACTGGGCTATAAGAAAGTCACTAGGACCTCAAATTTTGCTTCCTTAATAACTCAGATTCTTTAAATCCGTACAATAAACATGGCGAAAAGACTTTATGGGATTTGTTAAAAGTTCCTTTAAGTGAGATTTCCTTATAAGTGAGTTCTTTATGACCAAGTTTTACTATGCATACCAAATATATACGCCTGTTAGTCAGTTTGCCTACAAGTCAGTTGCATTTTTTGAGATTATTTTGCAGGATTTTGCCATTGACCTGCTTATATTTTGGTCAAATTTTAGATTATTATTCTGTTCTATTAACCTGTATTTCAAAGAAAGGTTTGGGGCATGATATCAACATTTGATCATTTTTGTGATGAAATATACATTTTAAACAAAACTTAATCAGTATATATTCTGTAAGCACTCATTTTTCATATTTATGGTAACCTTACACATTCTTTTTCTGCATGAAAGAATCTTAAATATACTGTTGAATAATTTTAATTTGTAGGGGTCAATTTTCGTGGGCAAGCAAAATTTTATTGGTTATTGGGGACGTAATTTCATGGGTAACTCAATGACATACTAGTATATACAGAAGATTTGTTCGTAGGGATGTAAATTCGTGGGTAAGGGTGACCCACAAAATCCACGAACATTGGTCCCCCACGTACACTGATGATTCCACAGTATGTCCTGACTTTAGTCATCACTGTCCGGGTTGTTACATTTCATCATCCATAAAAATACAGATGTTTCGAAGACTTCCTTGTAAGTTGGACATAAGAGTTTTGAACCAAAATTTATCTCCCAAAAATCTGACTTATAGGCGAGTACATTCTAGTACATATGTATATACAGTATAATATATACAGTCAAACCTCGTTATCTCAAACTCGATGGGACTGAGAAAAATCTTCGAGATATCCGAGGGTTAGAGATATCGAGGGCAAAATACTTAAGAAATATGTGGTTAGGACTTCCCAATCACTTTGACATATCCAAGGTATTCGAGATATCCGTGTTTGAGAGACTGAAGTTCAACTGTAGTTCATCAAAGTTTTAAAAACATTTCTATAAAATAACCAATGTGTACAAACTTCTGTAAGTTCTTCCAGTCCAGGAATTTCCAGACGCCACCCTTCATCGTCCGTCAAATGGAAGTGGAATTTGTTCATCTTATATTTGGCCATGACATCCAGTAGTTTCATAACTTGATGTTTGCCATGAAAGTTCCGAGAAACATCCAAGTGCATGCCTCTGTATGGAAACCTTGGATAATCTTCAAGTTCTATTTTTGGCACTTCCTCATTTTCCAATATGGAAAGGAATGATTGGATACCATAAAATGCCCCATCTGGGTCAATGGCCTCAATTTTAACTGAAGAGAGTTCAGGGTTAACAAAGAGTTTGTAGGAAGAGGCTGGGGCACCATCTTTTGTATCTTGAAGTGTCAGCATTATAACTTTAGATGATGGTATGGAATTTTTGTCATTTGAGATTTTGCATTCCAGCCCTAGTTTTTCTGGAATAAAAATGTGAAAACATTAATATTTCATGATTTTCAACAAAAAACAATCAATCTGGGTAAAATAAAATTGAACCAGTTTGAAGATTTTCATACCTTTAAGAAATAAAGCTTCATTCTCTAATTTTGCATCACAGAAAATTGTAAAATTATCCATGGACAAAACGGCAGTTTTTTCCCAGTCATAAGAAGCCTTCACTGGGGTTGGCAGTACAGGCGTCCCTGGCTTCCCAAGGTCCTCCACTGTATTCCTCTCGAATCTCTTCCCTGGGGTATAGGGATCATACTTGTCTATTCTCATCACTCCATTTTCTTGTTTATAATGAAATCTTTTCCACTTTTCTGGTTTATCAAAATGCTCAACAAAGCCCAAGTCAGGCATACTGGTACATTTGATAATTCGAGGTTCTAAATTCCCAGAAACAATATACCAATTTGGTAACAAATCTGTTCTTGCTACACAATAATATTGACACTTAAACTTGATTGTTATACTTTCACCTTTCTCTAATGTCTTGAAAGTCTTCATAGGTTCCAAAGTAAACAGGCACCCATTGACATGGGAAAACCTGACCCCCTCTTTCTTCTTCTCCGCTTCGTTGTGCTTGGGTAGCATTCCTGGTTCCACCATACGGATGTGGCAGAAATAGATTTTCCACTGGCCTTTGTAGTCCAGTGGAAAATCCGAATTATTGGTAAGGACAATTTGAGATCTGTATGTTGATTTACCATCTTTTAGATTGTCCACAACACTGTACTTGATGTCCAGTTTCTCTGCAACATTATCCAGCTGTGCTTGGTCCATTGCCTGCAACAAACATATACAATGAGAGATAAAAAAAAATTAAAAAGAAAAGAGCTGTAATAGGTGTAAAGGCTTTTGGATAACGTAATAGTAAAAAGTTCTTCCAAGACAAAATAAATAACTTATACAGAGTTATACCAACACCGATAAGAAATGTAGACTTTACCTAAAAAATTCGACTTAAATTTCTAGGAGATATATAATTTATGTTTTTTTTCATGTTCAGAGCATCCAAAAATAAAAAAAAATATAAACAAACAAAAAAAATAAAACCCTGTCGCTTCCTGTTTTCTGTGATTAACAAGGTTTTTCCTGTGTAAATGATTAATGCACATGTACTTGAATATTCTGTAAATATATATATATATTAAAAAATGTACCGGTACAAAGGAAACCCAAGTTTTTAATTAAAAAAAAAAGTCATTCAAAATTGTAGGGTACATATCATGATAATGCAGTATGTACTAGTAGATTTTTTAGCAGTTTGGCAATATAATGCTGCAGCATGTAAAAATTAACCATAATTATTGAAAAGAATTCAACTTTATACAATTGGCATTATGTTGCCCATGCTATGTTTTACATGTCTCGGTAATGCATGATTTTTAAAACAATTTCATTTTATTCTAGTAATTAAAGTTCTATTCTCTCTTTAAATTCTGTTAAAATGACTTGTGGGAATTTTTTTTTTAGAGCAAATGATGATAAACTACAAGTGTGTGTGTTTGACATAATATAATACTTGGCTTTTAAACCAGTGAAAAGTTTTTCAAAATACAATGTATTTCTCTCAAATGTTGTATGATGATGGGCTTTTAAAAATATCATTTTCATACAAGCTTAACTTTCTTTCACAAACAGGTACACCTCAAATAAAGTTGTTGGATGGGACAAGAAAATGAATACTATAATCATTGTCAAATCTTATTTTCATAATTTTTAACTTATCAATTATCACTCTCTTTAACTTTGTAGCAGGAAAGGAGGAATGAAAAAACAAAATCAAACACAGCTATTATAAACTTCACTTGTCAGGCACTTCAACTACTGAGCTACTCAGGTCAATATCCATGGCCCATACAGCCCAAACAAGTACTCTATTTAATAGACTATTTATATTTAATAGACTCTACAGCTTTAGGTTTTGTTTGCAGTCTTTCCTTAACATTTTGAACCTATGCTGATGAGAAGGCTCTGATTCTTTTTTCTCTTTCTCCCCTCTTTTTACAGCCCTCCTCCCCCTTACAGTTACATGTAGATCTAGAAGTTGTCTCTTAAAATAGGCCTATCGAGATGATACTAGATTTCTCAGATTTTTGGGTCTCTTGTTTAAAAGTTCATAGTCATATCATGTTGTCAAACTGACATCTTGGCCACTTTATACCGAATCACTCAGTATTTCTGAAGTAGAAATAGCAATGAAAGATTACTTTAGCAAGTAGCAACATGCGAAAAATCTTCGAAATTCTGCGCATCAGAGACAATTCGAGCTACAAAGAAAACAACAGTCTTCAATGGTTATTGGACATTATTATGACTACCTTAACTCTGGTATTTTCAAGATATTCCCTTCCTTTTCTATTCACTTTACAACATTCAATAAATTTCACATATTTGTTCTCATATTTTGAGAGCCGACAAAAGACGAAAACTGGAAAGTATTCTGCAAAAAAAGGGGCGTAAGTCATACACTGTAGATAAGTCAAACCAATGCAACTCGTAAGGCGATTTCTCTGAAAATTACTTTATTGGTTGTGATGTTGCAGAGACATACTCTCTGGTTGCGTGATGTTGCACTGTAATTTTGATTTTATTTATTTATTTATTTTTTTTTTTTGGCTATTTGATTGAAGTATAAAATTAAAAATGGTTGAATTGAATTAAAACAGGCAAAAGAGATAAAAAAGGAGAATCAATCTGAATATTATCTTGAGAAAGGCATTAAATAGCCACAGGCACTGCATGGAAGTTAATGTAAATCTGGAGTATGTGCATGTATAAATTTTATACATACTCAATATTTACATTAACTTCCAGTGCCCGTGGTTAAAATGTCTTTCTCAAGATAATTCAGATTGATTAATAAATAATTCTCATCAGAGACATTACAAAAAAATATGACTTTCTTCCAGAAAGCCTGTAATGTCATCTCTTTGGTTTCAATAATGTCCCCGAATGAAAAGTGGAATGTATCTTTTTTCAGCTATGAACTTGGGTGAAAATTTTACTTAATCGTTTTTTAAAGTACGAGTTTTTGAGTGCAATTTAAAAATGCAACAATGTCGACTGTAGAAGAAATTATAACTATAGCCATTTATAACTACGAAGTACACAGTTGTTCTGCAAGAAGGCGGTTGTAAGCCTGGTGTTCCTTTTGCAGGCCCGTAGGAAGCAATTTCAGTGGGGGGGGGGGGGGGGGGGGGGGCAAACCATACATTTGCAGTTGGGGGGCACTATCAACTACCAAAAATTCCATGACAAGCACAAAAAAGGTCATCAGACGGTTTTATTGAGGGGGCACAAGCATATAGTAGCAATGTTTTCTATACTGATTTATATATCGGCAAAATTATTGGGGGGGGGGGGGCAAGCCCCCCTCCTGTGCCCCCGGTTCCTACGGCCATGTTTTGTCTTTTTTAGCAGCTACGTACTCTGACAACATAAACCCAACTTAAGAGTTTTTGAAGCGCAAAAAAGCCCCAATGGCTTTCCAAAGTTTTTTCTTAATTAATCTAATCCTGAGAAGTGACTTGGCCATGGAACCACTGGGGATGTCAAGCCATGCACTCCTGCATCACTATCTTCTGATGCCCAGTTTCAAGTGATTTATATCACTGTTATTCATCCAATAGCAACTGTTTTCTGATGTTGTGTCAATTATATCATGGTTTGACTTTCACGACTCCGGGTAACCTCACTGAAAATGACACATTTATACACAAATATGCGCAACTTATATGGTTACAGACCATGTACAACAGATTTCAATGTGATCTTATAAGGCAGGATCTGGAATTAAGAAATGAATGTAATATTTTTTTCTTTGACCGACGTATCAAAGAAAAAATTTGGACGGAAAACGTCATCAATGCGCGTAGCGCATTGATGAAAACGTTTTCTGTCCAAATTTTTTCTTTGATACGTCGGTCAAAGAAAAAAATATTACATTCATTTCTTATCATTTAATTATGATTTTAAAATAATAAAATGAAACTTTCCCTCAGTTTACTATAAAATTTACGCATCAAAAACAGTGCGTAGGAATATATCACAACAATGTTGCTGAAATTCAAAATGGCTATAGGCCTAACGAAGAAACAACGTTCTCAAATATTGTCGTGTCACTACCAGCCTTTTCTAACAATAATTAACAGTTCTTTAACACAAAAAACTTACCTGTTGTGTTATTAATTTTTTGTAGGTCACAGAAATTTTGAATTTCATTTGCGCATCTCTTCATCTGAATTTCAAACCGAACATATAAATATGTATCACAGCCTGTCCATGCTGTAAAATCTGAAAGAGTCTGTTGCCTACTGTTTAACATTGAAAGAATTCCGTCCTCATTCATGCAGCGCCCTTCATGCCGTGTCGTTTTTCTCGAACATTCGATTCCTAAGAATTAACAGATTAACGGCATTTCCCCGCTTTGGTAGCATAAAAACATTTCTTCACAGTTCTATTGTTCATACCAGTTATCTCAAAGTCAAACATTTAACATAGGTATGCTGATTTCTTACTTTCTTTCCCATTACTGTATTGTTGTCATGCAGACGATCTGATTTGTTTAGCAAAGGGGGATAATTCAAAAAGAAACGAAAGTAGACAATAAGTCAGGAACGTAACGGACAAGTTTCGAAATTCAGGAATATATCTATTAGAGAAAAGGTATTCAATTGTTCCTTCATGAACTTCTGGAAGCGGGAAATACACATGTAAAGACAGGCAAAGTAGTTCCGGCTGCTGAGTGCAAGCGAACTCCAAATTCTATTGATGCAGTTATCAAAAGAATTTTTTATCCAATCAGAATCAATTATTTTAAAGAAATTAAATGATTTGGTGTTTATGAATTTGGAGATCTTTTGATATTTGTTGAAATGTAGCATACTTCTCACAATAATATACATGTACTCTACAAAGGAATTTGACAAATTGAGAAACAGACCCACTTTAAACTGCACTAGTTCCTATAAATATTCAGATTTATCCAGAGTTCCTGAATAATTAAATATGATTCCATATGTTTGTAACATTTTTTTTTCTAATTACTGAAGAAAGGTTTTTAGCATTTTAAAATTAAAGTACATTCGTGTGTAGTAAACGCAGGCTTCGTTTTCTGTCCATCCATAAGTATTTTAGTGTACGTGCTGATTTTGTTGTTGTCTGAAAATGTCAACCGTCGATATCCTTTTCTTTGAATTCTCTTTCACTTTCGTATTACATTCTGATAATTTAGAATTATGGTGTTCATTTTTGCGAAATGACTTACGAAATGATTTACGTGGGACCCACCCATCCCCACCCCTAGAAAACGTGGACCCCACCATCACCACCACGACGTAGGTGTTTTTCTCGTTTAGGAAATGGATTTTACGTTTTGTTTTTTATTTTTTTATTTTTTTTTTTTTGGCATGTCAAGAAATATTTGAGTTGGAAATTTAATTTTGACTGGGATGGACCCCCCCCCCCTGGAAAAAAATCCTGGATCCGCACCTGTATTTTACACGATATATACATGTAACCTGTTACGAAATCAGCTGACAATGTTAATTTCCCGAGAAAATTATATTATTCATCCCTACCTTTCACTAACCTTAATAAATCTATGCCACAGTGCAATTTCTCATGTTCTTGTTATTTTTTTTTTTACATCTACAATCTTGTAATTGGACTGAGTGTCAATTGGTTACGTGTACCATGCAGCAAGAAAAAAAATGTATAATTGAATTCGCATGGACTCGATATCATTTAAAAATTGGTCAGTTGTAAATAGGATTACGAAAATAAGACGCATTTTATTTTTGTATCATGTAATGCATATGACCAGTTTAATTTGCTATGAGGACCCCGGCCAGACTGAAGTGTTTTCGGTCTTTATTACGATACACCTCGTATCATCGTAATAAAAGAAAAACAACAATCAATTTAATTAAATATGTATTATCTCCGTTTGAAATTGAGGAGGATAAGGCATATTAATAATTATTTCTTCTATATGAATTACTATATAGTTGTATTTATTAAGAAATTGAACTACCACTTTATTTTTTATAGGCATCCTTAAAGTGAAGCAAAATTGAATCTGAACTTTTTTTTAAAAAGGCGCGCTGTTAATTCTTCTTTTTCGCTGAAAAACTGATATAATTTTTTAATTTACGCAAAAATAGGTGATTAATTTCATCATTCAATTAAAATTTAATTAGAAACATTAATGGTCGAAAATGTAGGCGTCTTTGTACATGTACAGAACCTGGTCATCGTAAACACTATTAGTCCAATATGATTTCTCGGAGACGGTTACATGTATCCAGAAACAGGTGCGTGGAACTTTTTCGCGACAATAGGATGATTTTAAAAGCTGATGTTACACATGATTGATGGTATGAAACACGTATATGAAAGGTATGTCCATGAATTGGAAGAATTAACCCACAATGAATTGCTTCAATGATCGCAAATAAGAACTGATTCGGGGAGTGGGTTTTATGTGGAACCTTAGCTGCAGTATAAACTAAATAACAATTTAACCGTCATGGCGAAGAGAGAGGAGAGGGGATGTTCGCGTGTATGTCACAACCAGTGGACACTAAGTAGTTTTGGATTTAACCATGATCATCCGAGAGATTTTATAACATTTCAGGTAAGTATTTATTAACATCACAATCACAGTCAGGGGCGGATACAAGGAATAGTTCCAAGGTGGGGAGTGGGTGGGTAAATTCAGTTGCTAGCCCCCCCCCCCCCCCGGGTGGGTAAAATCAGTTGCCAGGGGCCAGTCCCCCCTTTTTGTGACCAAAAAATTCAGCACAACTTCCTCAGGGAAAGTTTGTTTCTATATATTTTCTTATTATATATGCAATATAAGTAAAATAACTCAAAACAGTGTTCCAAAAAACCCTAAAAACTTTGAGCTCCCGGAGGCCCCACCAGCTTTGCCCTGGACCCACTGGGGCCTCACCATCACCGGACTTTTGGGTCCACCTTAATTTAAAGTATCCGTCACTGGCAATGTTCATGTTTTGTACCTATATATGTGGTCATAGTATATCACTCCTATGTGGATGAGAGCTGAAATAGTGTGTAGAATAATTATATATTGTACAAATATCGATGACAATTCGGGACTTCTGGATATTCTACATGTAATTATCCTCTAACCGAGTCCTCCCACGATACGCACTCAACGCTTCTTTGCCCCCATAAAATTGACTTTTGAATAAAAGTACATCCTCCTGCACAAGCGGAAACATTTTTAACTGCTTTAGGTCAACATTTTGAATCAGAATGAAATTTTAATAAAAAGGTTGTGTGATCTGTAATTTTCCGAGTTATCTTAATTCATATGAATTAACGATGTAATTTGAAAAAAAATGTGGGAAATGTTTAAAAAAAAAAAGACTCTCCCAAGAAAAGTTACATTTATTAAGTTCCATACAAACATCGAGATATCATGAGCATATGTTGATTTCATGGATATTATTTTAAAAGATGTAAGACTGTGATTCTGGGACGCATGAAACTGTGAAGAACCGGTTCATTACCCATTATATAATTATCCGAACTCGTATCCATGCCATGTTTTGGTGCTTGTATGGAGGTCGCCTAAACTGCAATTTAACTATTTCCCGTGAGATCTCAGGTTTTGAATTGTATAATTACAATGTATCACAATTACCATAACTCTGGCACAGAAGAAAAAGGATATCTGCCCATTAATCTCCTCCAAATCAAAATACACCGAGTCTCATAGTACCGACCTTATCACTATAATTATGAAAATACAATTTTTTAATCCAGAATCTTACAATGTAACTTCTGTCAACAGTAGGAAATTTTATAAAGAAGTCATTGATGTCCAAGTCTGAGAAAATGAGGTCAACGTCGGAAAGATTGTGTCGGTAAAAACTTTTACATCAGACTTTATATCCTGATCAATACATAGGGCTCACGGCGGGTGTGACTGGTCAACAGGGGATGATTACTCCTCCTAGGCACCTGATCCCACCTATGGCATTTCCAGGGGTCCTTGTTTTATGCCCTCTTCACAGAACTGTGTTGTTTAAGCATTTTTTTTTGAGATCGATCACTGTTCGTTATCTTCACCTTTTTCATCCTTTAATTGTACTATTTATAATGTATATTAAATTATATATATAACACTGTATTATTCTATTTTTATTTTGTATATAAAGTTGCTTGACCCATACGGATATAGAATGCAAATAAATATAAATTATTCCTTTCTCAAACATTTAATTTCCTTTTCAGTGGGGATGTCCTAAACTTTTCATTGTGTGGACCATTTCCTGGTGTCTCCTACACGTCACCGTCCTCGCCCTGCAGCCGTATTTCTTCCGGGAGGTCCTCCCGAACTGGGCGTGGTTCCTTTTCCTGACCAACTGGAGCTATGTTGTGCTAGCCATCTACTCTATAGTGGAATCTGTGTCTGCTATATATGTGTACGTCTGCAGGAAGGACATACTTAAGGGAGGTAGGACACGAGATGAAAAGAAAAAGAAACCATTAAAACCCTTTCGTATCCTCCTGCTCTAAGCATAAAACGAAACGCCTTTCAACTTAAAAAGATGTTATTAAAAAAATGTTTTCCCTTCGAAAGGACGTTTTAAGATTTTTTTTTCACCATCGAAATTCTTAGGACATCGTTCAGTCAGTGTAACGTATTTCTATTGTCAAAATAAAATGATTAAAACATTTGAAACATACATCAATTATATTTTTAATAATCAATCCTAGTCAAAATTTTGTAAAATTACGGACCGTTTCACTTTTAATGGTTAATAACTTCATTTCAAATGATATGGGATTGAGCTTCTATGATCTTTAAACTTTAACACCATAACGAAATTGAATAGTTTGATCAATTCATTTTGCCTGTCTACTAGAGGAGTATACATTATGAGTGCATGCATACTTGTAATAAAATGTAGATTGATGGGATGATCTGACTTAATTTGATTTCTGTTGCTGCCCATTCTCCCACCCGAAAAATAGTAGGAGTGAATTTTCCGAAATCATTTTTTCTGCCTTTTAATTTTTTCCCTTATTGTGCTATTCCAAAGTAATCAATAACTCTTTAATTCTATTTAATTAAAAAAATAACAACTACAGTGAAAACTGTCTAATCCGACACCTGTGCAATCTGTGTCCCTGTGAATTCTTACCTTTATTTTTATTACCATTTTACTATTTTACACGTTTTTACACTGTTTACGGCCCGCATGTCTATTCCGACACAAGATTAGTCTCCCAGTGCATGTCGGATTACACAGGTTTCACTGTATATCTGTGGCAAGCCAAATGTTTGGTTAATTTTATAATTTATCTCCCAAATACAGATGCAGTTTCCACTCCTTGGTATTTTAAGTTTCTGTGGGTTCTCTACTATACAACAACAACCTCGGCCATAACAGTCGCACTGCTGTATTACTTGACATTAGATGAAGGTAATCCTTCTCTCTCTCTCTCTCTCTCTCTCTCTCTCTCTCTCTCTCTCTCTCTCTCTCTCTCTCTCTGATCCATATTTTGAATTATATTGATATTAAGGATGAATTGCATGCATTTTTAATCATTTTTTTCTTCTTTTTTTTCCAGTGAACGATGCCAACAGCATACTTAAACATTTTGTAAACTTTGTCTACGTGATATTGAATCTCATCTTGACCCGAAAACCGTATCGTATTTTGCATTTTTATATCCCCATGATTTATTCGTTTGTTTATATCATATTCACCTTAGCATACCAAATAGGATTCAAGCAAGAAGCAATTTATCCTACATTGGACTGGAACAATATTCCGAACGTCTTCCTATATGCTCTCGGAATACCCCTTGTATTTGCACCATTATTGACGCTTACATTGTACACATTGACTGTAATAAGAGATTCTATTGGACTTCAATGTGACAGGCCTTCAACAAATGATAGTGAAAATATATGAAAATGTCTCGAAGGTGCTTACATGACAGTTTCTATGTAAAAAAAAATATATACATTTGATATTAATTATATTAATTAACTTTTACTGTCAGTTATGTTGTTATTTTTAATTTATATCCTTTAAATCTATTCATATTTCATTCTTGAACTTTTAAATTCACCTGTAAAAACTCTGCAATCTTTTACAACTTCGTAATTTTCTTTAAAGTAAAAACATACTGAAAGTATGTTTCGGTATCCTCCATTGCATTTATATGTAGAGTACAAAATCTGTATACTAGTATTTCAACATGACATTGAGTCTGCATCTGACATAGGCCGCTGAAGGGAGGGGGGGGGGCAAGAGCGGCCCCACTTTTCTGATTTTAGTATTTTGTTATAGTAAATTTTCATTTTGATGCTGGTTGCCCCCCCACCCCCCCCCATTTTTTGCTGTAAGGTCGAGCACTGGATTCCAGGATTTATAAAGAAAATGTAACCCCCCCCCCCATCACCACGAAATATGAATTTGGACGTTTTTTGCTTGTCAGACGTTTATTGGAGGTTGGTCCCCCCCCCCCTCACTTTCTTTGGGGGTCATTATTCGTCTTACACCGGCTTAAATTAGATTATATTTGGGTGGGTGGGGGGAAAGACTTGATGTGTTGGTATCATTGTTTTAATGGTAATAAATTTGTAAAGTATTGTTAATCTTATTTTCATTTCAGATTATCAACTTGCATGATGATATTTTCAAGGTATACCAGTAAATTAATGTAGAGTTCTAAAGTGTCGTCGAAAGGTAAAACTGGAGCTTCTGTGAGCACTGATCCCACAGAATGATATCCCACTCCCATGCGAGTATAATGAAAAAGTCCACATTTTGCTATGGGAAAACCCAAATATCTCCGATCAGAATATAAAATAGGACGTGCACAATGGCACTATGTAATAAAGATTCTGAGAAAGTCTCATTAAATTTTATTCAATGGTATGGGAGGATAAGAGATGGGTACCCGCAAGTGTTACGGACGGACACCATCATTAAGAACCCCCCTTTTTTTAGGCGGGGGTATACAATAAACACAACGCAAAGTTAAGGCTTTACGAACACCAAAGGGTCATACATGAAAAAGTTGACAGCTTTAAGGAAAATGTCATTAATTTTGACAAGAGCATGTTGATAAAGAAATATTTCGAGAATGTTTAAAGTGGAAAAAATGGCCGACATAGGTGAAACTTGCTGATGATACATGTATATTTATATCACTAGATTTAGCTGAATAAAAAATATCACTATTTATCTTGAATAAGTTATTTCACTCGTTCAAATAAAAAAATACTTGATATTCAATTTAAATGGATGATTTCCTCTAAATGAATGTTATATTACACGATAGCAAAAAATACCAACTCAACATAACATCACTTTAACTTCTGGTGAGATAAAAATACACAATTGTGCGCCATTCGAAATGTTCGACAATAAAGAATGACCATAAAATATTTTCATCATGCAACTTTAGGTCAAAATTTTAGGTGTTTTAAAATTCCTGTTTATTCCGCAGGGATTATTGAGTTAATTTAACATATAGTAACTGAATCCGAGTTACAGATCAATTGTTTTAATTCTTGATGTAAAACAAGAATGACGGAGAGCGGGTAAAGTAAGCTTACGCTACTGAAAGCGGAAATGTATGTAAGTATCCGGGAGTTTATTAGATAACTTTAACGTCGTCCGTTTCCTTCTCGGAAACTATACTAACATGTTTGATTAATATGAAATATGCCGTTTAGAGTAAATATTTACATTTCATTGATTCATAAATCACAGTAATATACAGGATCCCCCTAGCAGGTTTAAGTGTTTTGCTCTCTGCGAGTGAATTTGACAAATATCAATTATGGCAAAGGAAGAAAAGAAGGGATGCTCGCACGTGTGTTATAACCAGTGGAAGTTAACTAGTCTTGGATTTGACCATGATCAACCAAGAGATTTTGTTACATTTCAGGTAAATATAAATTGTGCAAGTTATGTACATGAAATCTATGGAAGTTCAATGCCAAATTAATATATACTCAAATATTTGAACCTATCTTCAATTAATTGTACCTATGTTTAAATCAATTGTACCGATCTTCAAATCAATTTTACCTATCTCCAAATGCATGAATTAAAGATAGGTTTAATTCAATTATACTTATCTTTAATTCATTTGAAGACAGGTCCAATTGATTTGAGGGTAGGTCCAATTGATTTGAAGTTAGGTACAATTGATTTGAAGATAGGTACAAATGCCATGAATTAAACATAGGTATAATAGATTTAAAGATAGGTGCAATTGAATAACCTATCTTTAATTATAAAGATACTGACAATAATAACTACTCCCCATAAATATGCTCTGTGCGGTTCCCTCCATGTCCAAGTTGCTGTTAGAGGGAGCTTTCATTATTTTCAGTAAGTTTAACACAAAACGAATTGAACCTAGGTATAATTGAATTGTACCTATCTTCAAATCCTTTGTGGACATGTTTCAATTGTACCTAATATCATTAAATTAATTTTACCTACCTTCAAATGAATTGAAGGCAGGTATTATTCAATTGAACTTATCTTTAATTGAATTGAAGATAAGTGTAATTCCATAAAAGATAGATGTGATTTATTTGCACCTTGGTTTAATTATTTAGAGGTAGGTAAACTTACAATGTATAATTTACATTTATCTTTACTTTAATTGTACCTATCTTCAATTCATTTGGAGAAAGGTTCAGTTTGAAGATAGGTACAATTATTAGAAGATAGGTTCAAATATTTGAATATATGTTAATTTGGCGTTCTATAGAATTCTTAACAATATTATTTCATACATCTTATCACCATGTACAGTTTACATCTATGAGGAGATCCGTCGGTCTTGTGATTAAGATCTAGTTATATTGACGACCATTTTCATTGCTTGAAGAGGGACCAATCACTATAATATATTAGTTGATTCAGATGATTGAGCAACCTACAGGAAAATTTCGAATCATTGCGTTTATCTTAATCTGTCCCTTACATTCTATAGTGCTAATCTGACTCTGCTCCTTACATTGTCTAATGTTTAATCTTGCTCTGCCCCTTACATTCTCTAATGTTTAATCTTACTCTGTCCCTTACATTCTCTAATGATTAATCTTATTCTGCCCCTTACATTCTCTAATGTTTAATCTTGCTCTACCCCTTATATTCTCTTGTGTTAATCTTACTTTGCCCCTTACATTCTATAGTGTTAATCTTATACTCGGCTCCTTATAATCTGTAGTAGTGTAGGATTTTCATTATTATATTATTGAACTATCAAAATATTACTGTATGTCAAATCGTACAATTTCTAGTTACCGGTTTTTTTTAAAATAAAGTACCCGGTTGAAAACAAAATAGTATTTCTTTTTCTTCCTTATTTACTCAGTAAATTGTCTATATATCATACCAAAAATATAGCAGTTTTACTAACTGATACTCGCATCGTTCGACGGTTAACCGGGTATATACTCGTTAAAAACACCACAAAATCTATATGTAACACTGGAATATTATTGCAAGTAAAAGTGGACTATTTATTGTCCTATAGCAAAGCCTCTTAATTGTTGTTTTTGCTGTTTTTCTTTGTACACGTACATATGTAAGCATTCTTTATTATCTATATTTATTTTTACCGTTACCTGTATAAATATGAATACATATTCCTTACAATTTGCATTGAGTAAAATTAAGCATAATTAATATAAAACATTTTATTACATTTTCAACAGTGAAATACTGTGATTTATTCATTGAATAAAAGTGATATTCTCTCACAGTGTGAAAGGATACCAAAAGTGATATTCTTTCACAGTGTGAAAGGATATCAAAGTAAGTAAAATATAATTTCTGGCCTGTAATAAGATTGAGATAGTAACTAAACCATCTTGACAGAGACTAAAACTGCCAATTTCTTCCCAAATATGTTGCTAAAATCCATGTTACAATATCTTATCATTTCACATTTCATGCTAAGCCATGGCGTCTCAACTGCTCAACTATGACGTCACAGCCTATTACATTGTGTTAAAGGTCATATGAAACAATGTCCAGAGCATTTTGGGTTGTATACGGAAAGGAGTTCATCAGAGCTACTTTAATAAGCCTGAAATTATATTTTGAATTTTTTATGCAAGTTAGCGGCAGCAGAGTCGATCAAAATTACTCGAGTGCAAAAATGAACTTCAAATAGCGCGGGTTATCTCCCTTTGCTTATGACGTCAGTAAGACCCAGTCGTACATTCAGTACTAACATTTATACAACCGATCATGTCTTTTGCAGCGTAAATTTTAAGAAATATTATTATTTAGGCTAAAACGTCGCATAAATATACGATATTCAAACAAGATAGTATTTGTCCTTTAACATCCTACTGCATATCTGCAAGATATTAACTTATGTTTTATCTGTGTAATTTATTGTCGTCCTTCGAGACTTCAATCGACAGAGAGAGACATGATCCTACAGAGAGAGGGGGTCTGTACTCGAGTAAGTGAATATAGACGCTGTCAATAATTTACAATTGAATAAATTTCTTACATAAGAAAACTGATGATTTGTTTTCTGATTAAATTTTTAAGCCATGATTAGATGATGCTATCTAGGTACTCGGTAGTACGCGCATTTATAAAGCTGAATTCGATTGACCGCGCTGTGTGTGAAAGTGAAACTAAACCTGCATATAAATGATTTCATTTATTTATGGGAAATGAAATGATTCTATTGCTTTCTCCCGTTCTCAATCACATTTCTCTCTGCTTTTCTCTGTCTCGATGACCCCCCCTCTCTCTCTCTCACCTTCCTTTTTTTTTTTACCAAAAAGTCGGTACATATACGCATAACACTGCAACTATATTATCGTAATAATTTTAAAAAGTCAGACATTAAACGTAATTCTATCTATGTAATCCTACTTTTCTGTATGTATATATTTACAGACCGAATTGTTCAAATTTGTATCAGTTTATTTTAACACAGATTATTATATAGTCTGATTTTAAAAAAAATGTTGAATTGTAAAAGTATTAATTTTGAGAATTAATTGTTCAGGTTCAGTCTCGCAAATAATGAGGGCATGGATTTTTTTTAACTGATCAATTTATGCACGAAGTGTGTGAGTATTTTCAAACTGCAATTGCTCAGCCAAACTGTAAGAAGTATCAGCACCGTAACATTACAGTGTATGTATATACATGTACATTCTCGTAATGCAGGTAAGTTTTGAGCCATTTTTTTTTAAATCATGCTTCTTGTGACAGCAAAATTACGGTGATGTCGTCATAAACCCCTATTTCTATATTGTTTTTACATTAGTCCTCGTGTTTCAAATTGCAGAAGCGTGCATTCAAATACGCCGACTTTTCATTGATCCATGTTTATCATGAACTTCAATATCCCCGTGTTTATTTGGAAAAAAAATGGGAGGGGTACTCTTGAGCTACATATTTTTCCCTCTCAATACATGACACAACTTTACAGATTTTGCGTGTCCATTAAATTTTTTACTGTAAGAAGCTTAAGGTCAATGTTAATTAATTACGCTGTTTTTGTTGTTAATTATACAATTTTACTGGGAATGAAAAAAATATATACGTATCAAACAGAAATTAAAAAAAATTAAATTGTTTCTAAAGTATTAATTTAAAATAAGTAATCATAGTTGGAGGAGAAAAATCTTGATTCATCAGATCAGGGTCATCCTACGATTAAAAGCTCTCGTTTTCAGTTGCTGTGTCTAATTAACGATTAGTTCGAATAGAGTAAACTGTACTTTAGAATCAGATAGCTCATCTGAATACATAATCACATTTATATCCACAAAAATGACTAAAATTAACTCAATAAAATACGGCAAAATTACACTAGATATAGATCTAATGCATTATTTACATCAGTGGGTCTTTGTGACGTCATAAAAACACAAAATCAAGAACGATAAGCGGGTAACAAATTTATCAAATGGACACGTTTAGGCCTTCATTTTTCAGTTAAGCAAAGGCAAATTTTTTTTTTACTAAACGTGATTTGACATTCTTTCATACCAGTCTTTATGTTTAAAAAGTAAAATCCTAGTGTTAAGAATCGTTTCATATGACCTTTAAGAAAAGACAGAGGCAAAGGGAAAATCAAAGAAAATGTAATAAATAGAAAATTCAATGTTTTGTAGTTGGATATGGAATTTATTTCACTCGTGAGACAGAATTTTTTGATATTTTCACTCGTGCTTCGCACTCGTGAAAATATCAAAAAACCCCGTCCCACTCGTGAAATAAATTCCATATCCAACTACAAAACATTGAATATCCTCTATGTCTCTAGTGTATCTTAGCTTGCTATCTTAAGTATTAACCCGTGTATTAAGTGTATAAGCCCCTGATTAACTTATTATTTTTCTACTCTGTTTATTTATGCCTTGCATCTTAAAAAATATGGCAACCTATATATTTTTTACAATTATAAGTTGATTTAAACTATATTCAGTGAAAATAAATGCAGTTTTTCTTCTTTGAACCATTAAAATTCTGAGGGTTCTGAGGGGGGAAATACCTTAACTTACAAAATTTCTGAAAAGTTTACCAACTTGTATACAATTTTATATCAAAATCAATATTGTACATATCTAGTCATTATACTACACTGAATACATGTAATACTATACATACTTAACAATGAGCTTATTTTGGGTTGATTACATTGTATTAGATGTAAAATGTTATGTGCCTTAAATGTAATCATTACTGTTGTGGGTCCTGCCACGTGAGGCCCTAATTTGAAAATAAATTCTATTCTATTCTATTCATACTTTTACAATACATGTCATATATCTTACATAATGAACCAATAAAACCAGGTACTGAATCAAGATACTGTTTTCGTAATGTAATATCTACAGTCAAACTTTGTAAAATCGAACTCAACGGGACCGCCATTAAGCTTCGAGATATGGATGATTCAACATAACAATGTTTATAAGCAAAAAGAAAAAATGGTTGGGACTGCCAACTCATGATCTCTTCGACCTATCCTTGTATTTGAGATATTGGTGTTCGAGATAACGAAGTTCAACTGTATTTTGAATTCAAACCAACAGAAGAAATAGAAAAGTAATTTAATTTGAATTAAAAGGAATAGGTATTCAATTACATGTACATGTAAACTACATGAAGCTATGTGAGGTATCTCTTTTTCTAACCATTTTCGGATAAATACTAATACTAGTCTTTTATTCCAAAATAATTACTGACTTTATAGCTTGTTTGGATAATTTTTTCGATATATATATATTTTTAAATTCATTACTTATTTGAAATAAGTTCTAGTTTTAAACATAAACATATCTATTTTCAGTGGGGAAGTCCTAAACTTTTCATTGCCTGGACCGTTCTATGGGGTCTTCTTCATATCACAACCCTTGCTCTACAACCGTACTTCAATCAGGAGGACTTACCCTACTGGAAATGGTTCACTAAGCTGACCAACTGGAGTTACTCAATCCTAGCTATATATTCTATTGTGGAATCTGTATCTGCTATATATGTATTCGTATATAGGAAGGATATAATCAAGGGAGGTAAGACAGACTTTCAGTAACATCAGTAATGTCACATTTATAATTTTTAAATATGCCTAAGTTTGGAAACAAATGAAAAATGACCAGGAAAAGGTTTTTGACCTTTTTTATTTGCATGTGATATTGTTTTAGCCACATTTCGTCCGATTTAATCTTAAAATGAAAGGATATAGAGGAAAAAAAAAAACTTGAATCATGATATCAGCTGCCGTAGAAATATCCATATCCTAGATCATTTTTCGATACATCTAACCTGGTTACGAGTCTCGTTGTTTGAACACCTTTCCTTCTGTCTAACGTGTTGTCATTTTATTTTTATTTTATTTCATTATTATTGTCTTTATTACAGAAGCTGAATCCACACCATGGTATTTACAACTTGTATGGGTTCTATATTGTTTGGCAACAACCTCCGCCATCACAGTCGGCTTGTTGTTTTATTTGTTGTTGAATGACGGTAATATATATCTCTCTCTCTCTCTGTATAACATAATGAAGATACGTACATGATGAATGTATTGGGATGAAAAATTACCTGAAATTTTAATCGAGAAAATGTTTTATTTCAGGTAACGATGCCAGCAGCATTCTGAAGCATTTTATCAATGTTGTTTTCGTAATTCTGAATCTCGTTTTGACGCGAAAACCCTTTCGTATTTTACATTTTTATATTCCCATTGCTTATTCATTTATTTATATTCTATTTACCTGTATTTATCAGAAAGGTTTCAATCAGGAAGAGGTTTACCCTGTCCTTGACTGGAATGATATTCCGAATGTTTTCCTATATGCTCTCGGAATACCTCTTTTATTCATACCATTATTAGTTTTAGTGCTATTTATGTTGACATTTGTAAGAGATACTATAGGAAATCATTGTAACAAGTTATGCCGGAAGACAGATACTGACATTATTGTATAATATTAATTTTATGCAATATCAATTGTATGCAATTTCATATATTTGTAAACCGCGTCAATACAATATCAATGACTTTCCTGTTTTTGTTGTGAGGATATTGGGTAGGGGATAGTCTTAAGTTGGGGATATTTAAGCGATTTTACAAAGAAGATTTATTCTTTTGTTTGGGAAACTCAACAGAAGTATGGTAAAAACAAGTGTGAGTGATAGACAGGGGATGCATACTCCCCCATGGCACTCTGATGTTTTCAGAGGTCCTTTTTGCTCTGCTCATAGTTTGTTTACCCCCCTCCCCCCCAGCAAAATATTGACACCGCCATTCTCCCTTATTTATGTAGCAATATATTATCACATGTATATGGAATTAATGTATCCCAGTTGATTCGATACACAAGAGCTTGCTCAAAGTACGGACAATTTCTAATACGAGGCAAGCTATTGACAAATAAGTTGATGAAACAAGAAATTCAACAAGTTTCGTTTAAAGTCAACATCTCGCAAATTCTATGGTCGATGTAATGACCTTGTCAGCAAATACAATCTATCATTAAGTCGAATAATGACAGGCGTTTTTCAGGCCATTATTTTCATACTGCATGAATTGTCCACAGATTCTTTCATTGGCCAGATCATGACAAGGAGCACGCAGCGGGTTTGACCGGTAGACAGGGGATGCTTACGCCTCCATGGTACCTGATTCCACTTCTGATGTTTTTAGAGTTCGTGTTTGCTCTGCCTCAAATGATATTGTTTCAGTGGACTTTTATGCTTAATTACAGTTCATAAGCTTCACATTCCTTACATTTGAGGTACCCATCCCTTATCTGCAACTCCTCCTACACCAATGAATAAAATTTAATGAGACTTTTACAGAATCTTTACTACGTGGTGCTACATGTATTGTGCATGTGTTATCGCATTCTGATCGGACAGATATTTGGGGTTTCCCATAACAAAAATTGACTTTGTCATTATACAAATGTACTTGTACTCATGTAGGCGCAGGGCTGGGGATATTATTTTGTAAGCTCAGAGTTCACAGTACCTGTATTCATAATTGTGTTACTAAAAGCCCACTATGAAGATATTTATGTAAGAAAAAAATAGTAAATTTACTTATTTGTACAAGTATTTTTACTATTCCAGTACTTGTATTAAGTTTCCAAATGTAAAACAATAGGAAAAATTCCCTGTTTCACATAAATTTCTTAAATATTTCCATCCAAAGGCTACCCTTACCCACAAATAGAACTACTCACTGCGAAAAAAGAGACAAACTCATTAATATTTGTGTTGGCGAGGTTTATACGAAATTGCATGCTATATTATGGTGGGGAGGTTTTTTTTTTTTAGAACCAAGTGACAAGAGTTCAGAATGCTTGCACTTCTGCAGACGCGTAGCCAGAATGGAAAAGAAGTGTACTCAGAGAACGGCAGGGCGTCTGGGGCAGCCTTGACCCCCCCCCCCCCATTGGGTTCAGGACGAAACCCTGCGGGGGCCCAGGGGGCGAAGCTCCCGGAAGCTTCTGAATTTTACCATATGTTTCATTCATTTTCTTGCAAAAAAAAAAATTATGCCATTTCGCCTTTTAGAAAATAAAAGACATAGTAATATTGTTTTTAACGCAAAGTTTATACTTCCATGGAAATTTATTGTACGTGCAGTTGAGGCTAAATATTATACCGATATTTTGGTATCATATACTCTTTATTAACGTTCAACAACAAGCATAATAAATGTTAGTTATTAAGAAAGAATGCCGTATTTTAATCATATACGAGTAGATCATAGCATTCAACGAAATGTTTGAATTATGATTTCTCAAAGATCTTTAAAAAAATATTCGTGTATTATAGAACAATTACAAATTAATCAATGATTTATTTGACTTTGTCAATGATTTAATAAAAAATTTCAAATTTGATTATACAGACATGATAATATCAAATTTGATTCGAAACAGTATGACACAAAACAATTTGAAATACAAAAAATTGTTGGATGGTACTGAGTTTTTTTTTCAGAATAATCTTCCGTCTCTCTCTCTTCTAATTTTTTAAAAAAATTATTCATTCATTTATTCATTTTATTTTATTTTTGAAAATGATGTGTACGCACTTGCGTATTTGCGTATAGGCAGCTACGCGCCTGTTCTGGTATTGTAAAAGATCTTTAATATTTATTATTTTCCAAATTATAGCAAAATTTTGAAATTGTTTGAAGAATGGCATTAATAAATTTATCTGTTGAACACTGCCTTTATTTGTTTCGTTATAAAAAGGATTATAGAGGAAATTATTTTGAAATGCTTAATCTTAGACTATTACTATCCTTTGGCGTAAATCTTGGCTATATAGTACCAGAGATTGTCCCAAAATTATCAGAGTGAAGATTTTCTTTCATGGAAAACTAAGTAGGTCAAAACATTGACTTCGCTCTTTCTACACCTTCCCAAATCCTAACACAGGCCTTTGATATATGATCTTGAGTCATGGTGACAATATTACTTTAGGTCATGAGCGGTAACGTGAAGTTTGAATAAAGGACAAGGTGCGTTTGGTGCAAAATTCGGCCCCGTGTCAAAATTAAATAGTATTCCTCAAAACTCTTTGAGAGAGTGCATATTTTCATGAAATTATCAATATATGCATGTACAAAGCTTTATTTATGTTTTATATAAACGTAAAGGTAGCATAGTTTACGATAACATTGCGATATTTCGACGTTGCTTTATGCAACGTCATGAACAAGAATGGGACGTCATGTTTTAAAATAAATCCAGCTTACATGTATATTTTACTATATGTACGTATATTAATTCTCACTTTCATATAAACGTACATTTCGATGTATTGGTATACATGTGATAGCATACTAGTACCATGCCTGCTAAATTATTTTTCATAATTAAAGACAAATCTTTAAATCAATTGGTATGGTTGGCTTTGAAATTTTTTGAATCATAAGGAGAAAAAAGGGGTGTACATGTAAAGTACATTCTGAGCGGATTTCTGACTTTCCGAGCCCCGCATTGGCACAAGCAAAGTATTGGCTTTATTTTTTAACTTGACGATCCGTAATTGCCAAGCTTTGTAAAAAAAAAAATTAAGAAAATGATTTTGTGTGTAATACTATGTCAGTATGGCTCGCAAGATTTTGGTCTTCCTGCTTATCTGCATATATATGTATATCATCATTTTTTTTCTTCAAAATTGCAGCTTGTTCCGAAACATGAATATATTAGGATATATGGGTCATTAAACAGACAGCATGTTTTAACGACGTTTTATACGAATCACCTATACATCTTCACAATGTCAAGGTTGTGTGATATTGTTTCTCTTCACTACCTCTTTAAATAGGAACGATTTCACAAAACCTTGACATTGTGGAGATGTATAGGTCATTGCGTAGATGACCTACAATCTACTTGGTCTATTAACGATGTTTAAGACTTTTACAATAATTCATCCCCGTGGTAGACAAGGAGCAAAATGTACTACCTGGTTAATAGAAGATTTTCGCGGAAAAGAAAAAAACACTAGTACTTCACCGTAAAGAAGGATTTTTCGCGGAAAAGCAATGTGGACTCGCGGAAAAATTTAACAGCGCAATTGAGGAATTTTCCTGTAATTTTTCCCAGAAAAAGTTGTTCCATACCAACTCAAAAAAAAAAAAAAAAACTAGATCGACACAAAGGACAAAACCTTATTTAAAAATAGAAAACTAACCCAAACCTGAAAAACCTGTTTTGAAAGGGGGATGTCACTTTACCTTCCTACATATCTTACCAACTTTACAACCTTTACTTGACCCTTCCCCCTTCATACTTTTAGTATTTTACTATATGAATTTTATACAAGTGATGGGTGTTGGGTGGGGTCCGGAAATATACCCCCCCCCCCCTTGCCGCTACCTTACTGCTTCCTCTAAGTAATCGATATACCTTTGTAACGACAACCTATGCAAGCGTGTGTTTTAAGGAAGCTCTAAACACTAAGGGAAAACATTTTTTAGACCCTGAGAACAATTTATAATATAAAGTTGTACTGTACATTATGAGCTAATCTAGTTCATTTCCAGGATAAAGTGCGTGCCTTATTTCCCCAGGAAAATTGTTCAAAGACAATCGAGTGTTAGTGGCCAGGAATCACTGTTGTTTACTTATATATTGGTAATCAATATGTAAATAGTGTATTCGATTACTTTATCTTGGTCAAATATAATGCTAAGAATACTTCAATTTAATATTGTGAATCTGAACTCGTGAAAGTAGATGGCCCTTTGTTCATAACAAACAGAAAGCAATATTAATTTTATTTTGTAATTCGGGGGAAAGGAAGCAGACAGTACAGTTGATACTTTTTACATGTTCTATGGGGGGATCAATTCAATGAGAACTTTGATTACATGAAATATTTATAGTTCCTTTATCACATATAGTAGGCGTAGAAATTAAGGCATAAGTAATTAGTAATTACTTAGTAAAGTAATCATTGATAATTAATTAAGTGTATATTTTCAAGATGATAAAAATAAAAAAGTTTTAAAAAACGGGGGGGGGGGGTGACGTGGAAAAAGTATATATCATTATGTTCACCGTGGTAATGAAATTTCAAGTAAAACCTTACCATTTACCCATGTAGGGGGTAAGTTCACATTCTTTTCTACAAGAAATATTTTTTGAATCCGAATCGGCATCGGCACTGAAACTACGTGCCTGAACGTTACGTATGGATAAATTGAGAGTATAAACAGGTTAAACACAGAAAATGCACACAAGCAAATTAAAAAAAAAATCTCAAACGAAGGAGGGGGGGGGGGCGCCCGGCACGCCGGTGCTGGATCCACCTTTGAATACGTATTAGATGGTTGATATTGATATCCAGGAAGTCATTATTTCAATAACCCGTGAGAACAACATTTTCTACAAAATCCAGCACCAAGGAATCCATTTCACAATAAATCCGATGCTTATACATTGTATATGCATTTATTA